GACTTTTATCAACTGTTACTCAGGAAGAACACCAAGCTGTGAGGAGTAAAAAAAAGGAGGGAGAACCATTGAGTTTGGAAGATTACAAGCAGATGGAGTTCACTTTTATCAGCTGTTACATTAGAAGTGAACTCCATCTGCTTGTAATCTTCCAAACTCAATGGTTCTCCCTCTTTTTTTTCTACTCCTCACAGCTTGGTGTTCTTCCTGAGTAACAGTTGATAAAAGTCTCTTTAGCAGGTAAGCTTTTGTGTATGCCATATTTCAAATTCTAGATTTTTTTATTTTTAATTTTTTTTGGCGATAGGTAGTACATGTGAGGGACAGAGTAATGATTGAGGATTACCTTCAACAGTTGAAGAACACATGGTGACTGAGCAACAAAGTAGATTACCAGGGCTAAAAGTCCAGAAGTTAGCAGGTTATGAAACAACTTTTGGATTTTTGGCCCTAGTAATCTACTTTGTTGCTCAGTCACCGTGTGTTCTTCAACAGTTGAAGGTAATCCTCAATTATCACCCTGTCCCTCATATGTACTACCTATCCCCAGAAAAATCTCCTTGACAAGGCTATATATTTACTTTCACAATAATAATTGTGGAAACAATTATGACTTCTTATTTTGTCAAAGCTGCATATTTGCTTTCATTGAGAAGAATTGTAGATTTTTCTTCTAGCAGTACCTTGACATCCTTAGCATAAGGTGTCCCTGGGACATACAATGGGATGGACACAAACCCGTTCATGAAAGTAAGAAAATCTTCCAGTATTCTTGGAGCTAGTGAGTCTTCTTGCTCAATATCCAACACATACTTCAACATCACACACAATGTAAACTCACCTTTTTAGCTTCTTTGTAGAAGGAAACTTCTTGGTGTTCTCTCCATGACTCCATTACCAAGATTGACAAATTCTCTACGTAACAAAGGAGGTCAGGTCTCAACCTCAATGTGCTAATGAAGCTGAAAGCAATGTTTCTCAACTTTTTGTGGAGTGGAGATCACCGGAGACGAGCATTATCGACAACTTCCCAAGAATGTCAAGAACAGGCCTGGGTATGTTTGAGGGGTCTTGTCTGGCAAAGAAGAGTTGAAGAATAGGGAAAACCAGAGCAAGTAGGACTCCAACCAGAGCTAGTGAGTCTTCTGGCTCAATATCCAACACATACTTCAACATCACATACAATGTAAACTGCATTAAATCATGAAAAAGAATGAAGAATTTGAACTATTGTAAGTCTAAAACTCTAAAATTGGTTGTAAAGTCCTCACCTTTTTAGCTTATTCGTAGAATGCAGCTTCTTGGTGTTCTCTCCATGACAATATTACCAAGATTGACAACTTCTCTACGTAACAAAGGAAGTCAGGTCTCGACCTCGACGTGCTAATGAAGCTGACAGCAATGTTTCTCAACTTTTTGTGGAGATCGCCGGAGACAAGCATTATCGACAAATTCCCAAGAATGTCAAGAACAGGCTTGGGTATGTTTGAGGGTCTAATTTCATAACAACTACCGCCCTTTTATTAATAAATTATCAAGTCAATTAATAATTTTTAATGATGTTAGAAATATGTTTCAATTAATAATTTAGGCAATTTTATTAATGTATAGAAGTGTAATTATGAATTTTATTTTTTTAGTTAATTCTGTTAAATAAAAAATTCTAACAAAGGGATATTTATAATTTTTCAAACTACAAAAGACAATCTATTCTTTAAACAAATCTCAAGAGGTATATTTATAATTTATCTTCTTTTTTTTTTAATTTTTACTGAGAGAACTAAAATTTCAATTTTAGCAAAGAATCATTTCATTGTAAATATTGTAAATACATAACACATGCATAGTTACATATATCATTGTGTTAGTATAGTTAGGTTTGTAGAGAGACAGAAAAAAAGAAAAAAAAAAAGAAAAAAAAAGAGTTAATTATCTAAAAGTTCTATTTACAAATGTTATAATAGCTCAGATCCTATTTAAGATTTTTTGAACCAAAAAGTCCTATTTAGTAAAACTAAGAATATTATCAGTTTTTCTCAATTTTTAAAACTATGAATATTATCAATTTTGCATAGTAGTATTCTAAATAATTGTTTCACCAACTGATGAAAAAAACCATAACATGAGATTAAATGTTTTTGCTCTTTTACTTATTGGTTCGATAGAGCATGAGATTAAATGTTTTTACTCTTCTACTTATTGGTTTGATTCAACTATCCAATAAAACCGATTAACATTATCAGATTTTGTTAATTTTAAAACTGAGAATATTATCATTTTGCATATCAATGTTCCATCATCATGATCCTTTATAAACACAAATTTTTTAGTTTTGCACAAAAAAGTAATTCAATTTTTATAATTTTTTTCAAAAAAAAAAACTTAGTTATTTTATTATTATTTTTTTTTTGCACATAATTTTTTTAAAAAGTTTTTTCAATTTGAAAGTTGATATTTTAAAGTTTTGAAAATCAAAATAAATGTCAAATTAGGATATTCCTTTATACATAATCATAAATGATGAACAATTATTGTTTGAAGGGTAATTCCAACTATTAAAAATTTAATGGGACTTGAAGGTCTAAAAAATCTTAGTTAGAACTTAATAAAGTATAAGTTCATAAATTAAGACTTATGTATAAATGTCCCCAAAAAAAATTTGTGACTGTACGACACTACAAGAAATTACACTTTTGGCGACTAAAATTAATTTAGTACCCAAAAGTCAGCCCTTTGGCGACTAAAATTTGAATTGGTCGGCAATGTTTCATATTTTAGCTGCTAAAATTTTTTAGTAGCCGTATATTACTTATTGGCGACTGAAAACACAATTAGTAGCTAAAAAATGGCCCAATAAGCGACTAAAAAATAGTTAATCGCTAAAAATAGCCCAATAGGCGACTAAAATACAACTAGTAGCTAAAAAGTTACCCAATAGGCGACTAAAAATGACTTAGTCGCTAAAAAATTACCCAATAGGTGACTAAAAAAATTTGGTCCCTAAATGTACAATCTTTAGCTACTAAAAATAATTTAGTTGATATTAATTTACTTTTAGCGACTAAATTTCAGTCAGCAATTATAATTAAAAATTTTAAAAATTGGATTTTAGATTTTGGAGGGAAAATTAATTGGCTACTAAAGTACTTAGTCAGAAAAAATGCCTTTATTTATTATTGGCGACTAAAAAAGTTGGTCGGGAAAGAAAATAAACTAGGGTTTAAAAAATACACTACCACACGCTCTAACTCTCTCATACGTTTGTCTGTCTCTCACTCTATGACTGTCTCTCACTCTATGACTGTCTCTCTCTCTCTCTCTTTCTCACTCTCTCACGCCTCTGCCCTCCTCCAGCTCTTTCTCTCTCTCTCACTTTTGTCTCCATCGTCGTCGAGTATAGGAGCATCACCGCCATCGCACACGAGCACCACCGTCAATCCACCATTGGAGCATTACCCCAAGTATGTCCTCTCTCTATCTTTCAGTCTCTCTTCTCCTAATTTCAGCCTCGAGGGTTTTCTTCTTCCATTTGCATACCTTCACACATACCCAACCCCAAATCGATCCACCCATCACCATTGATGAATGATTGTGATTTTGGTTTTTTTTTTTTTGTATGCATATGTATATAAAATTTGAATTTGGGCATTGATTTCGACAGGGTTGAAGAGGTTTTCCATAGGGAAATTGTTGAGGTAGAGTTGAATAAAAAACCAAAGTTTAAGAAGAGCAGTTGACAAAGAAGTTAAAGCTTTACTTGCTGCTCTGTTTTGATCTTAGGATTGTGGGTTTGATGGCTACGTTTGTTCTTGTTTATTATTTAGATTTTTATTTTTTTATTTTTTTAATGCTTCTGTTGTATTTTGGTGTTTCTGCTGTATTTTGCTGCTTCATTTGCTCATTTGTTTGAAAATCTAATCTAATTGGAGGTAGGTAGTGTGTGGCTTTTGATATGCTAACGAAGGAGCATTGTTTTGAATTTCAGCATAGAATTAAACATAAGTGAAATTAGAGATGATGTGAAACTTATTAATATAGATGCATATTGGAATTTCTTGGTCTTCATTCTTAATCACTATGCTCTGTACTTGATTTAGAATTTCTTTTTCTTCAATTTGGAGAAGCTTGCTATTATATTCGTTGATGGTTTGAATTACTTGACTGGATTTTGGAGAACTATAAGGTTACTTGACTTAGTTATACCTTCTAAATGGGCCTACAAGTAGGAAAATAGTTCTTGGGTTGTATATTTCACTTTATTTGTAACATTGTAAGGCGTTGGAACGAGGTTTGAAGAACTCTATATTTGTTGTATGCATAAGATTACTTTTTAGCTCAATATACCTTATCCTTTTCTGCAACCCTGCAAGGAAGCTACAGTCAGAAACTTAGCAAATAGAACCTAGAATAAATTCGGCTACCACCTCTTCAACTTATGGTTGCTTTCATTAAACAGAAGGAAGTATATCAAAAGCAGTATGAAAAGCTAGGATAATATGGTCTTTTAATGGATCCCACCACAATTGCCTTTGTCACTTCCATAATTTCTAGTGAGTTTCGTAATTGCCCTCAATCACCATAAACCAGTTGGCATTCATAGAAGCTTTAACATAGAATAGAAAAATGTTTCAGGGTAATTGATGAAGACAATCTTCTTTCAGTTATTTCTCTCATGTTTTATTTCTTTATTTATTTTTTGAATCTCTTGGTTTTCACATGAGACCTCAAAAATCATGGATTTATAATCCCATGACTTTAGTGGATTATGATTTGTCAAACCAGTTGGCATTCTTAGTTGGTGAATTATTTGGTCATGTACGGAAGAGGCAGCCTTGGGTTGACTTGAAGATTGTCAAGGTAACATTTACGCATGGTAGTATATATATTTGATATGAAGTGCTTTTCTTAGTTTTTAACAGATGATATAATTTCGGAGGCTTATTGAGGTATTTCAATAATCTTTTTAGTTACATTTCTTTGTTGTCTTTTGGAATAGCAACTCATAGACGCAAACTTATATGCATTACTTGGGAAAGGGACTGCAACAGATGATGAAAAGCCTATTAAAAAGAAGAATGAGAAGCCTGTTAAGGTTGAGGTGGGCATAGTTCCAAGCATCTTTGTTGCCCATAAATATTACTTATCAGTTGATTTAAAGTTTTCTCACGTCTTTTGATCTATTTTCATATAACAAGTGGTGAAGCTATCAAATAAATAACAAAAATCATTTAGGTAGTCTTTGGATCAAGGATTTGATGAGGAATTTGTGAAGGGGAAAGAAGATGGAAGGGAAAAGTGAACAAAATTTCGCTTGTATTTCAATTGCTTTTCCCTTTGTTTTTCCTTTCCCTCCACAAATCCCTACTTAAATCTTTGATCTAAACACACCCTTAACTAGTTGAAAGTAATAATATAGGACTTCTTGTTTGTAAATAGGAAAGGAACTTGTTTGTGATGCAGAAGTACTCCGTGCACACCATCTTTCATCCTAGCACAAAGGCATTGTAAGTCAGATCATAAAGTTAGCTTTGGAGAGTTGGCCAAAAAAATGCTGATGAGAATTCATAACATTTGGGGGAAAAAATAATATTCTTACATCATCTTTGAATTGGAGTGATGGCCAGAAAATTCAGAGACCCCCCCCCCACACACACACACACAAAAAAGAGAGGATGTAAGTTATCTTTTCAATTATCATTGAACATGTCAAACATTCTATGTTACTTTTTGATGTTACGGAGACACCAGTCAAACACCACAAAAAATTGTAGAGCAATACTTAGTCGAAAAGGGGTGTTTCGGGGGCGAAAATTCAAAACAACCCTCGAACCACCATGTGAATCTCATAGACAGTTTCCCCTTGACAAATAGGACTTGTGACAACTGACGGAATGTAATTCAGGCCAGTAGGTTGGGAGTTAAAGCCAAAAACGCCTTAAACTTAGTTGAAAAAGGGTGTTTTGCGGTTAAAAATTCAAAGCAGCCCCCGAACCGCCATGTGACTCTCACGGACAGCTTCCCCTCGACAAATAAGACTTGTGACAACTGATGGAATGTAATTCAGATCCGTAGGTTGGGAGTTAGAGCCGAATACGCCTTAAACTTAGTCGAAAAAGGGCGTTCTGGGGGCGAAAATTCAACACAGCCCCCGAACCACCGTGTGGTTCTCACGGAAAGATTTTCCTTGACAAATAAGACTTGTGACAACTAACGAAATGTAATTCGGACCCGTAGGTTGAGAGTTAGAGCCGAATACGCCTTAAACTTAGTCAGAAAAGGGCATTCTGGGGGCAAAAATTGAAAATAGCCCCCGAACCACCGTGTGGCTCTTACAGAAAGCTTCCCCATGACAATTACGACCTATGACAACAGACGGAATGTAATTAGGACCCGTAGGCTTGGGGTTTGAGCCGAAAACGCCTTAAACTTAGTCAAAAAAGGGCGTTCTGGGGGCAAAAATTCAAAACAGCCCCCGAACCACTGTGTGGCTCTCACGAACAGCTTCCCCTTGACAAATAGGACTTGTGACAACTGACAGAATGTAATTCAAACCCGTAGGTTGAGACTTAGAGCCGAATACGCCTTAAACTTAGTCGAAAAAGGACGTTCCGAGGGCAAAAATTTAAAATAGCCCCCGAACCACCTTGTGGCTCTCACAGGCAGCTTCCCCTTGACAAAGATGAAATGAAACAAAAATAGAAGAAAAATAAATTTGGTAAGGATGCTTCATTGCATTGTTTGGGATCGTTTTGGATCGTTTTCCCAAAACGCATGACTTGTTTAATGCTAGACTTAAGTCCTTTTTTTTTGTGAATTTCATTTTCCCCAAAGGAAAAACATGGGAAATATATGATTAGAGGATATGATTAGATACAAGTCATTGTTTAACTTTGTAAAACCATTTTCCATACTTGCATTCTATAGGTTCATCTTCTAAATAAGACAATTACCTAACTTGCAGGAATGGTTTGATTTTCTTTTATATACTCTTCTTATTTGCTTGATTTGTATCTTCTAACATGTTTTTTAATTATGTGGTTCATGGAAATTGAGTTGATTTCGAAGAGCTCACTCCGCAGTAATGCAGAGAGGTTTGAATTTCAGGCTGAGGTGTCTTGGCTTATGGACATCATTATCAACTCACTTTACAGCAAGAAAGATACCTTCTTTAGGGAGTTAATCTCCAATGCTTCTTATGCAAGTGTATTTTTCCTTGGAAATTTCCTTAACAATGATACGTTTATATCTATATTATGTTAGGCATGAATCAGGCTGGTTTCATCTTTTGCTATTGGCCGAGTGATATCGATCCAAGTTGAACTTGGAGCAAATTATACTTGTCAAGGGAGTAAAATGAATTTTGCCCAACAAAAAAAATCAAAATTAATTCTATTGTGTAAATTATGTACCTCATATTATGTTGTATTATTATGCGATATCTGGAATTTTCTGGAATTTTATTTTCATTCATTAGTTGTTGATCACATTAATTGTTCAATCTGTGAAGTACTAGGCTTCTACATTAAAGTAGTAGTTTATGTCAATGAAGTTTATGTGATTCAACCATTGTTGATCAATCTGTTAATGAAATTTTGTCCCATGCTTCTACATTAATTGTTAAATCTTTGAGTTTTGCATTATAATTGATTAACACTCACTGTGCTTCATTGTTCTGTATGTCATTGTGCTTCATTGTGATGTACCTCACATTAATTATAAAGATTGCCACTTCATTGTGCTTTCTGGCCCCTTCTTTGCGTGGGCTGCTTAAAAGCTTGAAAAATCATAAATTTATTTTGTATAAATCAGGTACAAGTGAATGTAAAATAGTTTGTTGTTTGTTAGGTTTGTTTAATATTTTTCCCTAATCAATTTGTGAAGCATCTTTGATATCTATAGGCAGATTAGATTCTTTTGAGAAAAGCAAAAAATACTTATTAGTATATAAATTGGATTTAATGAAACAATGCCAAAGAAATGTTATCAGTTGAATTTTGAGATTTTATTAGCATAGTTTATAGTTCATAATTTCCTTTTGTTGGCGCATTATATTTTTGTTAGTTCTTCAGTGTTTGATATATTATCTTGTCAATGTCTATTAACCTCTAGCTTTCTCATTAATTCTAAATCTTTGGTAGATATATAATTGAGGTATTGATTTTGTTGTGACTTAGGTTTTCTGGTAATTTACTGATGGATTCTGTTTATTTGTATGCTCAGGTGAAGTTGACAAAAGAATCGCATTTGGCCAATTGAGAAGATTTGCTTGGCGAGAATTACAGCTAGTTACTGACAACTTTAATGAGAAAAATGTCCTTGGAAATGGGGGTTTTGAAAAGCTTTATAAAGGAGTGCTTTCAAATAATACTAAAGTGGCTGTGAAACGATTAAATGACTATGAGAGTTCTGGTGGAGACGCAGCATTGTAGCGTGAAGTTGAGATGATAAGTGTAGCAATTCACAGGAATCTATTACGTTTGATTGGGTTTTGCTCAACACCAACATAACGCCTTTGGTGTATCCCTTTATGCAGAACCCCTTTTGATTTATTCTAGTGAATTTTTGAAGTCTTTTGATTTTATATATAGCTGTGTATAGATGTCACTGGTAGCTCATATGTTTAAATAGGTTTGTATGAAATTATTATTTTAAGTTGGAATATACTTTGTTTGCAATGTTGACATTTAAAAGTTATTCTTTTGTTTGGATAGTTGTAAGTGAAATAGATGCAGATTGTGGAATGAGTGATAATATATATTTGTATTGTTTTGTTTGTATACATGTTACAGGTTGCATGGAATACATATAGGTTGTGGACAAATTAATTTTTTTTTTAAAAAACAAAAAACAAAAAATTATGTTTTTGGCTACTAAACAATTGGTAGCCAAATATGGAATAAATATTTTTAGCGACTAAATAGTTAGTAGCTAAAAAAAGAATTAAATGGAAACAAATCTTTTGGCGACTAAATATGTATTTAGGCGACTAATGATTTAGTAGCCAAAAAAAAGAAAGAAAATTAATTGGCAATTAAAACTTTAGTAGCTAAACAAAAACTAAACTTTAGACTACTAAACCATTTAGTAGCTAAAAGAAATAAGATGAATAAAAAAGAAAATTAGTGACTAAAAATTTGGTCGCCCTAAATGGTTAAGTTTTTGGCGACATTAAACATAAGTCACTAAAAATATAATGTTAAATTTATGATGAACTTTTGACGACTAAAAAATTAGTCGCCAATTGAATACTTTAAGTAACTAAATAATTCTTAGTCGCCAATTGAAGACTTTCAACGACTAAATAATTTATTCGCCAATATCTTTCTCGACAATAATCTAGCGACAAAGCTGGCGACCAAAAAGTTTAGTCGGCAAAATGTTTTGGCGACTAAAATAGGACTTTTGGCGACTAAAAATTTAGCCGCCAAAAGTGTAATTTGTTGTAGTGTGAAGATAGGGAAGGTACATTTTGAACGAACCCAGTTCATCTCAGCTCTCTCTCTCTCTCTCACTCTCCCCCCTCTCTCTCTATCAGGCTTGTTCGTCTTTCTCCTTCAACAATTGTATGTGTTTGGGTTAGACTTCGTTCGATTTAGGTTCATTCAAATCCATCAAGAGCTAACAGGGGGCAGGAGTTCGTTCAACCCATAAAGGTTTGTTCGAATCTTCAGCATTTGGTTCATTTCTTTCATCTCAGAAGTTTAACAAAATCACAATGCAAAGAAGATGAAAAGGACGAAATTGAGTGAAGAAGATGAAGAAATTTCTGTGAAATTACATCTGGGTTCATCTCTTTCATCCAAGTATTTATTTTTGTGAAATTACATTCCTAAAATTGCTTGAAATTAATTGAGATTCCTTTTGCTTTGTTTGAGAGTGAATGAAATTTGCGAGAAATTGCTTTAAATTTTTTCTGAAATTGTTTGATTATTGTTGTTGTGATTATTATTTAATTATTATCTTTATTGTGATTGTTGTTGTTATTGGTTTTTAATTTTGTTAAATATATATATATATATATATATTTTATGTTTGGGGGGTTTTCCTTTTCCATATCCAAAAATCTAGAAAATAGTAATTTTTTTATAATTGTTGTATTGTTGCTGGGTTTTTCTCACTATGTTTGAATGAAGGGCATTTTCGTCTTTTTGCATGCAAGAGCAAGGGTAATATGGTTATTTTGTATAGGCTACTAACGTCGCTTTTGTAAATTGACAGAATGAGAAAATTTTGATATTAGCAAGTAAAATAAAAAATATTACTGTAATTATTAAAACTATAAATAAGATTTTTGTATTTGTCAGCAAGCTTAAGAATAACTGACCTTTTTACTTTTGTGTATTGTTAATGAGTGCGTATATACATGGTGCACGTGCAATGGAGTTTGGGACCCACAATTATTGGAGACAGAGAAATGGTTGGCATCTGGAAGATCCATTGAGCTAGCCAGCTAGCTCCATATCAATTCAATTCTCACCATTGCAGTCATGGCTTCTCTAAAAGAGTCCATAGACATACAATTTTAAATTTGTGTGCTTTTATTTAATTATTCAATTACACTAGGAATTTCTCAAAATGAGTTTATTCCATCATCTGTAAAATTTGTACATTTTAATTTTTTCAATTATTAAAATTAATCTATTCCGTTTTATGTTTTTGTAACTTTGATGGTTTTATAAATGATGGGACAAACATATATACGTTACAATTAAGGAAGTGTTGTTATAATTAATATATGTTTTTTACTTTTTTTTGGGAAAATTTTTTACCATAAAATTTATATGGAGTTCTATTAACATATGAATCAATCTCTTCACATGGTATTAGATTGATTTCATATATGGCTTCATCTTATAATTTAGTGCAGGTTTAATATTTCTTATTTTTGTTATCTTTTGGGTTAAGTTTAATGTTTTTTTTTCTTCTTATTTTGGTCAATGTAAGGTTAGAAAATATCTATATATTTTTATTTTATATGAAAATAATTTTCAAATTTTTTAAAAATTACTTTTTTGGAATTTTTTACATGTGGTTTATTTATAAAAAAAAAAAAAAAAAAAAAAAAAAAAAAAAAAAAAAAAAAATTTAAAAACAATTTGAAGAAACTAATTGGTCAAACAGTTTTTAAAGTTCTTAAAAGTGGCTGCATAGAAAACAAAAATTTTAAAGGAAAAAAGTTAGGTAAAATAGAATCAGTGGTGGATGAGTTTGACTTAGAAATGTTACGAATAATATTGGCTTTTAATTTTGAATAGGGACCAACTTCTTTAAAACTTGATGAACACTAGATGTTTTTCATGTCGATATTTATTTTATAAATTAATAATTTAAATTTTGTCTAACTTCTTATAAATCAAACTCAATATTTAGTTAATAAGTGGATAAAATTTAAATTATTGATTAAATACAATCCACACTTGTTTGTTCTTTCTCTTGAAATTATACTATACTATGCATGCATACATATATAATTAACGAGCGGTTCCCCAAGTGTCCGTGGGGGTTGCAATCATATCAGACGTTCTTTTGAAATCATCATCATCATCATGTATCATATCAGTGGATGTTTTTTTATAAAGGCATTTTGCAAGTTTGGTGCATACGAAAAATCATCATTCTTTGTTTTTGTTGTGTGTTCTATGTTGTTGTTGAGTTATACATACAATTCTATTTGTTAATTAAACCTGATATGTCTTCTCCTGGCTCAAGGAAAAGAAAGAGAGAACAAAAATCCTAGTATGTTATAAACTCAAAAAAATGGATTGACTACATTTTTAGACCGGAGAGGGTTGTTTGGGTTAGTAAGACTCACCACGGGCTCCGTTTCAATAATCAAAACCGTTCATTTTATTGGACACTCCTTATATGTCATTCACAAAAAAAATTAAGTCGATCGATAACAGTAACTTGTTTAATTTTTCGTCTTTTTTACTAAAAAAATAGACGATAATTGTGTTTTTAAAAAACCAACCATATATTTTTTTTATGACAAAAGTAATAAATTAAACAAGTAGCAGTTATCGGATCGGCCTAAATTTTTTTTTTTAAATGAAATATATGAAGTACCAGACAAAATGAACTGTTTAGATTATCGAAACGGGACCTGTGGTGGGTGCCACGGACCCAAACAATCTCCTCTAATCCAGATTTTAACTGAAGAGAATCTATCTTCTAAAATTTAATAATTATGATCAAGATTTAACCAATATATGACCCCACAATAATAATTTCAAATTTATACCGTTGATGTGAAATTCTTAGTACTTTTCTGATTTTTTTTCCAATCCTATAGACTTTTTTGGACACATATTCCATTAATATAAAATTTATATAATTATTTTTCTGCATTTACCCTTAATAATAATTTTGCCTTAATATGTAATATGCAAAATCAATCACAGAAGTTAAAGGCCCTAGTCATGTCGTTGATTAGTCAACATTTTCAAAGCCAATTGTGCAAAATAAGTTCACCCTTTGTGGTGGGTTTTAAGATGAAAAATAAATAAATAAATTACATTGACATTTTATGAGGTTTGGTCTAATTATATTTTAGAAATTATACTTTTATTTATGTGGTTAATAGTCTCATTTTACAAACCTCTCTACTTATATAAAAAGTAACAACTCCTAATAGAAAAACGGAAGAAATTACATTGAAAAAAAAAAGTAAAGCAAAGGAAAAGAGAAAAAAGAGAAAGTAAAACAAAGTAAGAAAAAGAAAGAGTAAGAGAGGGCATAAATTCAATGTCTTCATCCTGTCTAAATAATTACAATCACATGGGATTAGTGTAATTTTTTAAGTGTCAGGAGTGATATGTATTAAATCCAACCCTTAGTGTGTAAGTGTATACTAAAAAAAAAAACAAATGGGCTTGTCCTACTGACTTGGCCCAATTGAGAGATGATGTAATGTAAGCATTTCAATCATAGTGGGCCTCAGCAATGGATCGGTTCGTGCTTTAATTGGGCTTGAGAGCCAGTAGTAAAGGATTCGTAATTTTGATATGCTATTGCAATGCTGATAAAAAAAAAACCGAGATATCACAGTATATAATAAATATAAATATATAAATAAAAAGGGAAGAAACTAAAAAAAATAATAATAAATAGAAGTTTCAGAGAGGGAGAGAGCAGAGCTTCTCTCTAGGGAGATTTTCAGCGATGTTTTGGTGATTGTCTGGTAATATTTTGATGATTCTTTTTATATTTTTAAAGTGTAGATTAAATTTGTAATTTTAGAGTGTAAATCTTGACTTTTTATATCCAAACTAAAAGTTTGAAAGTTTTTTTCCTCCGTTTTGACATATTTTTTTGAATTTTCTACCCTTACAATGGTTCCCTCTTCTCTTAAACCTTTTCTCATACCATTATGGGTGTCTTCTTAATCTTTTTCTTCTTACGGTGTCCGAAGTATAGCGGTAGTGGTGGCAGTGGCAGAGTTGAGCAGCAGCGATGGAAACGCCGTTGATGGAAACATCGGGTTTTCAAGCAGATCTTACTTTGTTTGATGTAGATCTTGCTTTCCAGACCACATCTTTAAAAAGATCAGTAATTTTTCCTAAATTGTAGCTGGTCTTTTTTGACGGATTTGTTATTTTTTTTCATTTTATGGTATGGTTTGTATGGCCTTTTGGGATCTTATTTTATATGTTATTGATTTTAATATAAATGTTTTCATGTTTTCCAAAAAAAATAAGAATAATGTCTAGAAAATAAGAATATG